GAGCCGAGCTCGAATAGCTCGTGAGAATCTCGACTCGTGGCCACCCCTAACCAAGGCTAACTATGAATTTGATTTATGAGAAGAAACATTCAAATTGATCAACAATATGCCTGATGAATGTTTCTTGGATTAGATTTATGAGAAGAAACATTCATCAGGCAGCAGCAAGGAAAGCAGAATCCACTTTTTGATGGTTTTCTCTTCTTTTTTCAGTTTATATGATGTATATGATGGATTCTTTTTTCAGAATCCACTTTTTTCAGTTCATCGTTCGCCAATCTCCAACCACCTGTTGTTGTTCAGACTTCAGAGTTGTTAAGGAAGAAGCGTTTGAACCGTATTACAAACAACTGAACCAACAATTTTTTTACTAATGCTACAACCATATTACTAGGGCCATTTGAAAACAACTGTTTTGAATGTAGGATTAGAAACTTCAAGTTTTTACAGGTAGGGAAAAATCATGAGTTCTCCTTCATTTTAACCACAGGGATTTAGGATAAGATCAAGTTACCTGAGTTCTCCTTACAGGAAAATAGGAGGGGTTTGGTCACTCGAACCAACAATCTGCAAAACAGAACCAAAAAAATATAAAAATAAAAACAGTAACAACATGAAAAACAAATACAACTACTGCTAAGCCAAAGAATAAGAAAAAAAAAACAGTAAGTATATGGTTTTCGTTGATATCTCCTCGGCCTAGAAAGAAAACAGAGTTCTGCGAAATGGGATATCGGATGCCAGAGGCGCCCCTCTTTGTCCTTTAAAACAAATCAATGTAAAAACCAATAAATTTCTTACGTTACCTCTGGGAATCGTCGCCGGAGAAGGAAGAGAGTTGAGCTCTGTGAGATCGGTTTGGGGTTCCTCCCACGATCTCTGGTATGGGAGACAAACACTGGTGCGGCGAGAAGATGTTAGGGTACCTCTCACGATTTCGCGGTGATGTCTCACCGGAGAAGATGGTCGGAAGCCGGAGAGAGGGAAACGAGGATTCGACAGAAAAGAAAGAGGGGAGAACGTTACAAAGGGAGTGATGGTGCAGTGATGGGAGTTTGCCGAGTTGGGGCTTTTCTTCAATGCCCATTGTCTGTATTGGCAAAATTACTACCCCACCCCTCCTCCCACTTGAAAATAAAGCACACGTGTTGTAATTTTAAAAACGGTAAATTGCAGGGCAAATTTTTTAGGGAGAATGACGTTTAGGCCCACGGTTAGAATTCTTAGGCGTACAGTTGGGGTAGGTGTCGAACAATTGATGCAAATTCACGGACGCGCATCGGCAAGGTTTTCAAAATCGGACCGGACCGGACGGTCGGACCGGAAAACCGGAAACCGATCACCAAACCGGTTCTATTTTCCCCAAAAACTGCTTTTTTTCCCAAAACCGTTGATTTTGGTCAGCAAACTGCTGAACCAGCCAATTATCCGTGCAAACCGTTCGAACGGTTTTGATCGTTTTTCAATTTTTTATTTTTTTTTTATTTTTTTATTTTTTGTCAAAACGGGCCCGAACGGCCGGTCCATTTGAACCAGTCACCGGTTCGGTTTTAAAAACCATGGGCATCGGTGTATAGAGTGGGGGTATTTGACATTTTGAATATTTATAGGTYTGCATTAGAATTCATAAATTTGTAATGGGACTATCCGTACTTTTCCAATTTTTTTAAAAGGAAAATTCTTGATAAGTACTTGTACTTTGGCTCGAGTGACAATTTAGTCCATGAACTTTAAAATGTGACATCCAGTACCCAAACTTTCAAAATGTGACAATCCAGTACCCAAACTTTCAAAATGTAACAATCCAATACATGTCGTTAACTAGTTCGTTAATTAGCCGTTAAGTAATATCTGAAAAGTCAAAAATGTCTTTCAAATGCCATCTAATTATCTTTTTTAACCATCCAAACGTTGACAAAAAATTGAACAATGTCAAATCCTAGCCACTTTTATTCAAAAAAGTTTGTGATTGTTTAAAATAATCTATAATTTGGGACTGGTCATTTTATTGTCAATGTTTAGATGGTTGATAAAGAGAATTACATGGCATTCTTAGGGTATTTTTGACTTTTCAAAAGTCACTTAACGGTTAATTAATGGACTAATTAACGGCAGGTACTAGATTGTTACGTATTGAAAGTTTGGGTACTAGATTGTCACATTTTGAAAGTCCGAGTATTGAATTGTCGCATTTTAAAGTTTGGGGACCAAATTGTCACTCGAGCCAACGTATAAGGTATTGATTATAAATTCTCCCTTTTTTTAAATATCCCTACTATTTAGCTAATTAACAAATTGTAGTCTTACTATTTAACTATTGTCCCCTTGTTGTTCTTGACAATTGACTAGCTCTATCCCTATTTTTACCATCCATTAATGTTTCGCCAAAATCTGTACATATGTGACGCCACATGAGCTATGATTTTTTTTTAAACCCAATATTACCATTCGCCCCTTTTGTAAGTCGGGTAAGATTCATTGTCCGTGAGAAAGACTATTATGTTGGTTCTTCGATTTGGCATTTTCCATCTGCAAGTGTCTTCGATGATAGCAGAACCAATGGCTTCAAATCTCTTTTTTGGAAATGGCTTCAAATCTGTGGTAGAGTCAAAGATGCAAACGATAGAGAGAGGGAGAGAGAGAGAGAGAGAGAGAAGAGGAAGGGGAGAAATAGGGAAAAGAGAAGGGATAGAATGAGAACATCTTTCCCCGCAATTGTAAAACCTTAACCCCAGGGGATGGGTCGTGTGATCAAAGTGTAATGTAAGGGTGTTTGATTAGTGTTCGCCTGTTATGGTAAGAAGGATGGRCGCTAGATCAGCGCAAGGGTGTTGGATCAGAGCGCAACGTAAGTGTTCAAGTCCCACACCCACCACCAAAAGGGACCGGMCATATTCAAAAGCCTTGACTTCGATGAGCACAATGGATACCTCAAGGGTGTCATCACCAAGATCATTCATGATGCTGGTTGTGGTGCACCACTCACTCGGGTAACCTTCCGCCATCCGCACGATGTCCCTTCGATGGGAATATTCAATGAAAAACAATGTGATGAGATAAAAGGAGAGGAGCAACGTAGAGGAGCGACAATAATAACAGATTTTTTCGATTAGGCCCTCTTTGCCATGGGAAACTTGCCTCTTTCTTTTGGAGGTGATGGAAGTAGTGCCAGCTCTTTAAAGTGGCCGTGTTTCGATCTCAATTTGCCGTCTTTTGAGTCTAAGTCAACCCCTTCATTGGACCCACAAACGGTAGAGGAAGAGAATCTAGGTTGGGATAAACACTGAGCTCACTAACATGTGAAATTACGGAGTTATGGTGACTTCAAGAGGTGGGGCAAAAGCTCAATCCTTTTGGATTTCTTAGAGTTGATCATATTGGTAGCCACTAGTCCTCATCCCCTAACAATCATTATTGACGGAAACCAGCCAATACCACCTAGACCCTAACAGTCAACCACACCATCAATCATAGTAGAGGTGGTTGAAGACGGTAAAAAGGTTTCTAGCATGACAGGCAACGACAACGAATGCCAACAGGGTGTAGAGAGCGAACAAGATTAGCCATTCAAYAGGTGATGGGGATTTTAATTAGCCGAGAACATATGATGGTTCAATAGGTGATGGAGATCTTAGTTACAGTGACGATGATCGGCATGGAACCGGGAAGGAGGTGTTGACGTTTGAGGAAAGATGGACAGGATTTAATAGAAGGGTAAAACTTAACTTTTCATCCTTTATGTTAAATTCAACGGCAATGACAACTGTTAGAAACAATAAGGGTGGKGCAAGACAATAGTTAAATGGCAAGGGTATATAGTTAGTCAAATAGCTAAACCATAAGGGTAGTTTAAGAAATGTACCCATTTCAAAATGTGCTAATTCAGTATTTAAACTTCCAAAATTTCCCAATTTTAGTGTTTAGAAACCTGGACCGGGCCGGTTGAACCATGACTTGGGACCTTAACTGATCCAGATATGCCCCAATAACTGCATTTGATTAAAAATCGGTAAAAACAATTAACTAGCCAGTTTCAACAAAAAACTAATGAACCGGTCCTGGTTTTGTGCAACCACCCGGGTCCTTAAACAATTGAAATTTTAAAATGTATTTAGTTAGACTCAAACCCATAGCCTCTTATTTCTATATTTTGCTTAATGACCATTAGTCCACCTCTTTAYTTATGTTAATTAATGACTCTTTGTTGTACATATTACTTTATTACATATGTATTTTAAAGAGAATGTAAATTAAGAGACTTGAACATTAGTCATTTGCTTTAAAAATGAAGAAATTTGCCATAGTTGACTAACTATCCTTTACTATTTAACTATTGTCTTTCACCATCCCTACTGTTTATGATTATTGTCATTGCTTTTCAATTAATTAGAAAAAATAATTAGGATTTAATATTGGAAAATACAAATTGTATCTATTTGTCTAAATTCAAATTAAGAATCAATTGGTTTGAGCAAGTTTAAATCAAATCCAAATAATATTTCTAGGTAAATTATTTGTCTAGGAGTTTTAATTTTTTATCAAATAATTTTAAAAAATCATTGATGTAATTATTTATAAATTCAAATGGGCTTTAAATTAATGCTATTAGGATTTGGGATTACATATTCTATCTATTTGTCTAAGTTTAGATTGAGACTCAATTAGTTTGGGTAAATTCAAGTCCAATCCAAGCATTATTTTTAGGTCAGATACTTGTTAATGATTTTTAAATATTTAAAGTTATTTTTAAAATTTTATTGTTGTAATTATTTGCAAGTGGTATCTATTTGTCAAAATTCAAATTAAAACTAAATTTGAAATGATAATCTTATTGCAAAATATCTATATATGTATGTTCTTCTTCAATAGTTGATTCGATGTACATCTCTTTAATTAAGGATGATGTTCGAGTGGAGGATTAAAAGGTAACAAGAGTTATTGAAATAGCAGTTCTCTTATGTCACTTAGTTTTATTTATTTTTTGATTTATACTATTTTGTTTTGTTATTTTATATGGAAATATTCTATGTAACGTTGGTTCTTGTTGAATGTTGTTGGTTGATAATAAACTTTGAGGAACTTTTTTTATATACATRATATTGAACTTGAAGAAAAGTTTCACTTGATATCAAATGGGATGGGTCAAGGCGCATTTAACATGTTTAGGAAATTGAGAGGAAAAGTTAAACATGTATGTTTGGAATCAAAGGTACTTAGGCAGGTTCAAGAATGGGAAGGACAAATTGCACGGTTACTCATTGTCATTCCTATCCATATTATTATATTTCGTTACTAATGTCAAACTAAGATAAAGGWTTTTTCTATAGGTTCTCATCCCAACCTTAGGATAATCTATAATGAATAGACTCTTTCCTCTAGGAAAGAAACAAGGAAAAAAAATTAGCCCACATCATCTAAGAAAAATAAGTGGTASATAGGGCTTTAAGTCTAAAGTAGTGCTCCACATCCCTCACTTCCTAATATTTAAGCGGCTTTCATYGAAAGAATAGCATAATCCCTTCCAAGTTGACTAATAATACTTCTTTGAACCATCAGTAGCATTCCAAAGAAAAGATATAAAGATTTTCTCAATTCTTCCAACCTTTTGGTGTAGCTATTATAGAATAATATATAGGTAGGAATACTACTCAAAATGTCCTTAATAAGAACCAACTTCCCATGAAAGATAGAAGTTTCCCTTTCCATCCCAATATTCTCTTGGGTACCTGCTCATTAAACTCCTTAAAAAGAGAAACAAACAACTTTCCCTTATTAATTAGAACCCCTAAGTAAGTGAATGGTATCTCCTTTTTAGTGAAACTTGGATATCGTTCCCTGATGTTGTTTCTACAATTAACCAAATTGCTTTGAACTTCTACTATTAGAAAGTTTCCTCCATATTTAGAGTAGTGTGCAAGTTTCTCTTGTCATTGTTGAGGTTCTCCCTAGAAAGTCCACTCGGATCTTTAATTTTTTACACCATTCCCTCTCCTTATGAAAAAATTACAAAACTTTTCAAAACTAACTAAAAACATTTCAAAACTTTTCGGGTTGGTTTGT